TTGATGACTCTTGCTGATTTTGTTGTTCTGTTTTTGTATGACACAGCTTCCTTTTTTGTTTTTTCTCCATTGAAAATTTCCATCAACCTTCCAGTGAGCGGCCTGCAGTCCAGAAAATCTCTTAGTAATTTTAATTAGCTGGTCTATCATTGTCCTGAACTTGGAGTAAAAGGTTGTCTTGCTTGTGATCTGGTTGGCTCTCTTGGTTTAGCATGCAACTAAGGAAGACCATTTCATTTATTTTAGTCTGGTAATGCCGTGAGGTTCCTGCACCCTCCACATGGTACACATCTTACAGAAAAGAAGACAAAAGCCTTTGCATGGTATGATCGTCATACTGCAGTGTGAAGACAACACCTTTGTTACCCATATAGTTGTCCCTAAAAGTTAGCTTTATATCAAAGCCTGGTTAAATTTATTCACTTAAAAATTTATATAACAGCCAGCTCTGAGAAATGCTGTGATGTCATCTAGCATAACCCTGGGAATACTGCCAGTTCTAAAAACCTGTGTAGCAAATCAGAATTGCCATATTTTTGGAAACTTCACTGTGTGAATTTTGAGACTGCTATGCTTTGGAATTATACGGTGTGAGCTGTCTTACTCTCTTATAATGAGGGATGCTATTGTCTTCTAGGTTGACAATGTTTAATTTAATTGTGTGATTGTATTTCAATCATAAGACAGAAAAGAAAACATATATGTTAAATATATATGTATATGTATGTATATTATATATATGTGCGTGTTTTATATGTATATAAAAAACACGTGTCTGTTCTACTACATCTATATATAGTGTTTTAAGATGGAAGGCAGACTTGAGGGCTTTCTCTAGGTTTGCTGATCCTTGACAGATTTGTTGACGATTTTCTCTCCATCTTTGACTATATTGTTCAAAGCCAGTGATGATTCTCTTCATCAGGAGCTAACAGCCTATCGTGATCGGTGGAGCCAAAGTGAAATTTGTGCTTTGTTTTTGCTTGGTGGCTTTCTTTGATTTTTAAGACCTCATGAGAATGTTTAAATAAGAAATGTTCTGGTTCAAGATTTGGAGTTTTAAATCGCACAGTCTGATATTCTCAAGTTTTTGAGGCATATCGGGAGAGTGACGGGCATTTAGCTGTGAAGTATATTCCTTTAAGCGTTTGTATGCTGAAAGATGAGGTGATGACATATGTATCTATCATATTTTTATGGAGAGATCAAATTCAGGCAAAGCTCACAATACTCTTAGCTGATGTTGCAGACTTTTTCGCTGAAATGTATTAATAATGTGTGTAAACATCTGGCTCATGAACTTTGTGAAAGAACACAATATCCATTTATGGTGAAGAGAAGGAAGAAGCTGTTAAAATATAAGGCAGTTAAATGAACAATTTTAAGTCATATAACTTGCATCAAATCATTGAGATAATTTTTACCTATTATAAATATATCACAAACAGAACAAACTTTTTGTTCCATTTTTTAAATTTCAGATGACTCCTGTTTCTTAACTCATCTGTCATTTCCTTTACTTGATGCTCAACCCAGCTGAAAGTGAATTCATTCTTTTTTCATAGATCTTTATTCTTCTTTCATGGATTGCATCCATCTGTTATCCTTTTACTATATAAATCCACTTGCTCTGTCTATAGGTGTTTCCCACATTAATGACTTGGGAATTTTAGGAATAGATGAGTTGGAGTAATGCCAGTGGCCATTGATAGAGAAGTGTTACCAAATTTTGGGTGTTTTTTGACTTCTGTCTCTTAAGGGAGATGACATTTTTGAGACTTTTTCCCCATTGAAAAACGAGACAGATTTTTAATAGGAATTGTTGGTTCTAACAGTGTGTGTATATACATATAGCTATACATATATATATCTATATGATGGATATTCATGGTGTTGAAACTTTTCTAATTGTTACAAATGAGAAGACTAAAAAAATTACTGAAAGAGCAAAGAGAAGATGAACTTACATCTTAATTGTTTATTCTAGGTGGAATGTTTTTTCAAAAAACAATTTAATATTTTAAAAAATATTTCCAGATGAAGACTTTCAAATGAAAGTCTGTATAAATATACATGGATTTATACATTTGTATCTTATAAAATATCCCAGAGTCAATCAAGAAATTATATCTGCCAAAATAAGTGTAATCATGTTGTTCAGCCTAACAAGAAGAAGGGGGTGCTTTGCATGCACAATTCCATGCAAATGAATTCACATTTCCATCTAGCTGTAACGGGCATATTCTCTCCACAGCTGTGCTTTTAGTTTTGACATGGTGATAGAAGCTCCACTTTGAAAATTATTGGATTTGGAAATAGGGTTTGGAATATTGAATTTGCTGCCTAAAATAATGACTGTTTTTTTTTTTTTAATGGTTTTACGTGCCAGGCACTGCTCAAAACCCTTTGCCTGTATTAACTTATCTAGTTCTCATAACGACCCTATGAAGCAGGTACTGATACAGTCTCCTTTTTGGTGAAAATCTGGAGGCATAAGGAGGTTAAGCATTTGGCCCTGGGGTCACACAGCTAAGAGACTGGCCTGAACTTGAACCCAGGCTTCCTTGCTTTGGACCTAACACTATTACCACTGAGGTATGCTGCCTTCAGGGTATCAGGCCCTTATCTTCTGTCATTTCACCTATTTCCCCCAGTGCTCCTACAGGGCAGGTATTGTTATCTTCATTTTACACCTAAGGAAACTGGGACTCACAGTAATTCCACTAGGACAAGAGAGCTGATAGTCTAATCTTCTCTATCTTCCTGCTTTTTATTGGACAGATGGAGTAGAGTTGGCCTGAGGTGTAAGTGGAGTCTCATGATTGAAAGTTTTTAAATGAACTCCACACGATACCCTAAATATTCTATAGGGCATATTATTTTAATACCCATAGTTTTGCAGGGCAATTTGCTACGTCTATCAAAATTAAGCATGCATACTTTTGATATAGCACATCTACTTCAAAACTTGAAGAAGAAATCACAAGAGCTTTTACCATCTTTTACTGGTTTAATCTAGTTTATTTCAGAAATTTAGATTTTATGCTTAGGGTAGTGTTTGTGGTTATTCTACACTTGATAGAAAGAGAGACCCTGCAAGGTTGTACCAAATATTTGGACACATTCCCAGGTGTGTCCTTTATCCCTTGCCCCTTCTCCTGCATCCCTCTGTACCTAGTTCATTCCTTCAGTGTTGAAGTGTTTTCCACGCAAGCTCATCTATAAAAGCAGAGCTCTGTCTAAATCTTAGGTATTATTATCCACAAGGTTATGAGTTTTCTTTATTTCTTGTCTATATTACTGCTTCAATTAGTCACTGTGCAGTAACTTAATATGATTAATGAAGTGAAGGTCAGCTTTAGGACTTCAGAGGGCATTTTTCTTGGGCAAGTAAACATTACAGATAACTTATTCTTATATTCTTTCTTTTAGCTTATTTGTCAAAAAAGACATTTGCCTTGAAAGGAGATTATTTGTTATAGTGTCTTCTTTTGAGAAGTTGCCTCCCTAAAGTCATTTCTTCACAAAAAAATCTCCTGCGGTTACAATTGTTGGAATGAGCTTTGATAAAAATTGGTCTTAGAATCATCTGGAATATTTTTATTGTCAGTTTGTTCATAAAGATTGCTTTTTTGACCTTAAGGTGATTTCTCTCTCAAAAATATTCTTCCTGGTAGGGGGGCAATTTACAGTTCTTTACTGTTGAGCTTAATTTATTTAAAAATCTTGTTTGGATATACCATACTGATTTTGGTTTCTCATTCTAAAAGTTTTTTAAAATGGATACATTGGGAATCTAGGGCTCAGGGCTTAGACAATTGGATTTTGTTTCATCCAGATTGCCATTCCAAGCCAGTGAAGGCTTAATTTGTAGGCTTGTTTGTATTTTGGGCTTTATTTCATATTTACATTCCCTTGGACTGTGCTTTCCATCTTTAATTCAGCTAAATACAGAAATACACCTAAATCCAGCATCATAAATGTCAGGTCCATTTCAAGAGTATTTACATTTGTATTCAGAATTATGCTGTCACGTTTGGTAGTTTCCAGGTATCGCTTGCATTGGGTGAGAGGCAGGCTGTCTGCCTTTGGTCGCCATATTGCTGTGACTCTGCCTCAGGGTTCTGTTGGAAGAAAAGGGCTTAGGTTATTGTATCAGCTTCTGGTCAGCCCTTCCTGGCTCTAGTGTTGGCTCACCTTATCCGGCCCACCCCACCCCGCTCTGTGATGGAGTCAATTTTCTCACTGGGTCGGATCATGTCATTGCCACTATCCAAGTCCTTGATCGTCTGACTTGGTTGGCAGTCTGAAATCTACATCAGGGTTCTCAAACCTGGTTTTCCATCAGGATTACTTTGAGCGTTTTTTAAAAATGCAGATACCCGGGCCCCTTGGCAAGTTAATGGTCTTTGGGTATTTTCAGGCATTCTTCTTAGAGCTGTGACTGGGAACCACTGGTGAGTCTTTACCTTTCTAATCTCTTCTCTTCTTTCCAAACCCTTGTTCTTTGTGTATGACTCTATTATAGTATGTACCTCTTCTCTATCTCATCCACTAGCCTCTGACCTCTCTGGTACAGGCACCCCTCACTTTCCACCTTGTTTTCTAAGGTGCGTAGCACATAGTAAGAGCTTGGAAATAAATGGTTGAAGTGAATACAATTTGAGATTGTAACATTCTTGGGTCTGGTGTTGGCGTACATGGGTGGTAGGCTCAATTCCAGGACATACCACTGGGTTTTCATCTCTCCTGCCCCCCAACTTTATTTAGGGATAGTGATACTAAGTTTACTATTTACTATGTTCTTACTATCTTCCAGATACTTTGCTTAATGCCTTTTTAGTTTTCAACCACAAGATGCTTGCAGTGTTCAGTTTTGAGGGATCATTAAAAATAGGTGAAAAAAACTGAAGCCAGGTATATTAGTCTGCTAGGGCTGCCATACCAAAATACCACAGACTGGGTGGCTTAAACAACAGATTTTATTTTCTTACATTTCGGGAGGCTGCCAGTCCAAGATCAAAGTGTGGACAGGTTTGGTTTCTTCTGAGGCTGCTCTTCTTGGCTTGCATTCTGCTGCCTTTCTCGCTGTGTCCTCATGTGGCCTGTCTTCTGTGTGTCTTCCTCTTTTTGTAGGGATACTGATCTCAGTCTTCTTGGATTAGGGCTTTACCCTTATAACCTCGTTTCACCTTAGTTACCTCTTTAAAGGCTCTGTCTCCAAATAAGTCACATTGGGGGTCAGGGCTTCAACATACGGATTTTGGGGGGACACAGTTCAGTCTGTAACACCAGGGGAGGTTAAATGATGGCCTAGGATTCCAGATGTGGTGAGGGGGAGGGAACTGGACCAAGAAGCCAGTGAATGATGAATGGTGAAGATGAATGATGAATGAGGAAGGCACTGGAATCATTGTCTTGAACTTAGTATGTGAGGAGCAGTTAACATGGGAAGGTTGTGCTGTTGGGTGGCCTACCTGAGAGCAACTGAAGAGTTGTTTTTTGTATTAGTGGATTAATTCTAGAGGTTGGTCCTGACTGTAAATTAAGGCCACCAACACTACATAGGTATATATGCTTTTTTTTCTTTGAAAGATCCCTTTTAGGTTTAATTACAAAATAATACTGCCAAAGTTAACCTCCTAGTAAGTTGTAGCATGCCCTTGAGTTTTCAATGTTTTTGACTCAGTTGGTTTAACTGCCTCTGTAAGCCTGGTCTCAAATGAACAGAGTGCCTCCAATGTGATACTCTGGCCTGCATGGTGATTAAAATCAGGCTTTTCATTTAAAACTATATAGCAGTTTATGGCTGTGAATCCATTAAGTAAGGATGTTCCCTTAAGTAAGGGATGACCAAGATTTGTTGTGTGGACTGAACCTGTTGAACCAAATACCAAGTTAGAAGAACTCTTTAAAAATAGTTGACTAAGTCTTATTTCAATAGTAATGTAATATTCCATATCGAATGACAGGTCAAAAAGTGAGAATTGAGTGTTCTTACCGTTCTCCTTGAGGCTTTTCTTCTTCATTTGCTTTCTCCTGCTAAAGCTGTCATTTGGAATTAGTTCTTGTCTTATGTTTCTGTAAATAAAATTGATAGCATGGTATTAGTGTCTTTGTTTCCATAATTCTGAGAGATTGCATTTAAAAAGGAGCTATATAAGCTGTAAGCTTTTCATGCTTAATGGGCTGGTTTTTAAGTGAACAGTGGTATGAAGTTAGCACATGTTAATTAAAATGTCTGGAAAACTAGTGCTTTATGAATTCAATATGGATTGAGAGAAGTTTGCAAGTTTTTGATTTATACATTACTGCCAGAGAATTTTTAATGTTGTAAGCAAATCTAAAACTAACAAGATATATCTTTTGTAAGATAATAAATAACTTTCATTGATGGGTTTTAAAAAGCTCAATTGTAGTAAGAAACATCACTGAGAAAAGAAATAAAGATTTTTGTTTCACAAGAAATTATCATTTTTATTGGCGGCAGGAAAAGCTTATTTGATATGTTAACTATATTAAATAGCTCTTGAGTTGATTACACCTGAAAAATATTTACTGTTAGATAGACCTAGAGTTTGGCGTCTGTAGAATGAAAGTAAGACCATTAGTTCAGGTACACAGAAAGCAGTGGACAGAAGAGAATGTTCTATGATATTGTTCTGTTTCTTTAAAAATATGTCCAGCTGCTCCTGGAAGCCCCAGATCAGCAAGGAAAATAAATGCAAAAACAAACTAAAGTAAAACGGTAAATATTCTCCAGCTGCCAGAGGAGCGGAATTTCTAGGATGGACCAGCTCCAAGAGCTTTGGCTTTCTGAAATGTTTTAAACCGAACTGACAGAGTTGGGGCTTGAACTGAAAAGATAGGAATTTGCCTCATACAACTTTATACAGCAACATTACTTTCTTGTTTGAAAAAACACTCTAAAAATATTTTTTGATGAAGTTTATTTTAAGATTATAGAGGCAATGCATGCTGAATATAGAGAACGTGGAAAATAAAGAAAAATGTAGTGAAGTAAAAATAACAGTTACATTACGGGAAAAGAAATGCTTTTGACATTTTGTGAATTTTATTCCAGTACTGTTCTCCCGCTGAGCGCTCTGTCAGCTCTCAACCTTGTACCCCTACCTACCCAGCATTTTCTTCATAATAAAACTCACCCTCCTTGCACATTTGGTTTATTTTGTAATCCTAATGCATCTTAGAGTTGTGTGTATTTTATGTGGTGCTATTTCTTTTTCCTCCAAAAAAGCTGCTATTAAAATGACTGTGTATTTTGGAATTCATGGAGTCTTAGAATTTAGGGAATACAGCACACATATATTTATGTATACACTTAAAATTTATATGCACATATATATTTAGATGCGTACCTGCATTTTCCCCTTGATCTTTTATCATAAGCATTTCCTAGTGGTATTAAGGTGTTAGGACTTATAATGGCTAAATCATATTAGTTTGTGTGATTGTGCCTTAATTGATATGATTTTTGCATAGTCATTTAGTTTGCTTTTAATTTTTGGACTAAATATAATTAACGTTCTTAAGAACATTCTTTGTTAATTCTCTGTCTAAATATCCAGGACCCATTATGATCTGTATTCTTCCAGTTAACTAAATCTTTCAAGTTAAAAATACTGAGGGTTGTAAACCCATGTAATCTAAGAAGTGAATGTCTTACATATTGAATTTTGATTTGGACAAATGTGTCTTATTGTTCTAAGGCAACAAAAAATTACTTTCATCTCTTAAACTAAGTGATTTAATAAGCAGTTAATAAGTGTGTAATGAGGATGATTTGGGTTTTGTTATAAATGATGTCAGAGTGTGAATTGTGTAACTATTTTTTGCTTTGGTCATGCTGATTTGAGCATGGGATAAATATTCTTTTATTCATCTAAGCATCATTGAGTGTCTCCTCTTGGCCAGGCACTTTCTGAGTGTGGGTGAATGGGACAGAAAATGTGTTTTATATTTTAGAGTTTACATTGGAGGATAGCGGGATGGTGTTGAGACAGACAGTATGTAAGTAAACAAATATACAAGATATAGTTAATTCAGATAGGTATCTCTGGTTTTTTTCATCATACCTTTTATCCATCCATTGATTATTTTACCCAGTTCAACAAATAGAAAAAATAAAAAACCATTAACTCATACATTGTGACTGTTATAGAAGTTACAACAACAAATGTTAAAGAGGTATTTTTTATGTATTTGAGATAGTCATATTGTAGTGTGGCGGGAAAAACCTTTTGTTTGGTTTTCCAAGTCAGATGCTTGTTGAAAAGACATGAGTTGAAGCAAGGACTTCCACTGCATGCTCTGGATGGAGAAATTAAGAGCCTATTGCTCTCTTTACAGTGATTTTAGTTTTGTGAGGTTGCTTTCTTTCTTTTAAAAGGAAGAGAAAAAAAAATCTTTGTCCTGTAGGTGTAAAGTCATTACTCGGACTAATGGGGCATTGAACTAACCGGAGGTACAAGGTGGACTCTTTTTAAACCTTTTTATTGAATCCTTTGGACTGTCAGGTCAAAGGAGATGTGATTAAACTTAGACCTCTTTCCCCCACCCTCCTGCCTAGGAGAAAAGTTTTCATGCTTAGAAAATGGCGCTGAAAAAGAACAATTATGTGGTTCTGTCTACTGGCAATTTATTAAGTGAAATTAACTAAAAGAAAGAAACAAAGAGAATACTAGGAAATGGTAAAGTTGCTTGAGTACAGGTAATTGCATAAACAAAGGACCATAAATGGATGTGCCACGTGGTGAAGGGAGCTCAGTGTGGTAGGAATGTGCAGTCCTCCTCACCGCCTCAGTGTGAGATTGACTTAGGAGGCATGATCTCCCTGAGAAGCTGCTCTGAAGTGCTGGAGGCAGAGGAAGCCAGAGGCCAAGGGAGCTTCCTGAGGCACAGCTGGGGTGAATCAAGTATTTTTTGCGGAACCAAGGAGGGAGTGTGGGCTGCCAAAGACTGTGTAGCTGGAGAGGTGCAGGAGTCCTGTGGAAGGCTAGGATCGACAGTGGGAACAGGAAGAGAAGGGCCAGCCTTCTGGATGCTCAGCACTACCCTTACTACATGCCGGCTTGGTGGTTTAGGAGCTCTGTCTAAATGCACAGAGTCAGGGTTGACAGAGGCATGAGAAGGAGGACAGGTTAGACTGGAAAACCACATATTGGAATCTCTTAAAATTAGAGTTAGAAATTGATGTATAGATTCTAGGCAAACCCAAAATACCACACATACTTTTTAATAGACATTGGCAACCTGATTCTAAAATTTATTGGAAATACTCAGGACCTGGAATAGCCAAACAAATTTGAAAAAGAAGACAAGTTAGAGGACTGAAATTATGGGATTTTAAGACTTACTGTAAAGCTATAGAAATCAAAAAGAGACCTATAAAAAACTTGTACATGAGTGTTCACAATTGGCAAAAACTGGAAACAACCCAAATGTCCATCAACTGGTGAGTAGACAAGCAATTTGTCTTGTATCTGTATATGGAAATTCAACTCAGCAGTAGAGAGGAACATACTTCAAACACATGCAACAACATGGATGAATCTCAAAAACGTGTTGAGTGAAAGAAGCCAGACATAAAAGACAATATAATATATGATTCCATTTTTACAAAATTCTGGAAAAATTAAAACTATAATGATGAAGATCACATGGCTAGTCTACAGGCACCAGGGAGGAAATTGATTACAAGGGGCATGAGGGAACATGTTGGGGTTATGGAAATGTTCTTCTCTAACTTGATTATGGTACTGGTTATACAATTGTATTATTTTATGTAATCATATAATACACTTAAAATGAGTGGATTTTATTTTATGTAATTTGTACGTTAATTAAATGGGTTTAAAATGAAAATGAGGGCCGGCCCCGTGGCTTAGCGGTTAAGTGCGCACGCTCCGCTACTGGCGGCCCTGGTTCGGATCCTCGGCACGCACCGACGCACTGCTTCTCCGGCCATGCTGAGGCCCGTCCCACATACAGCAACTAGAAGGATATGCAACTAGGACATACAACTATCTACTGGGGCTGTGGGGGGAAAAAGGAGGAGGATTGGCAATAGATGTTAGCTCAGAGCTGGTCTCCCTCAGCAAGAAGAGGAGGATTGGCATGGATGTTAGCTCAGGGCTGATCTTCCTCACAAAAAAAAAAAAAAGAGAGATATAAAAAAAAAAAAAAAAATGAAAATGAGAGGTAGGTAGACCTCCTACCGTTCTCTTTGATGTTATGTCTGAAAGGAGGGTTTGGAAAGGTGTCACTTTTAGTGGCTGTAAAATATGAATTTCCTGAGCTATCCATGACATGAACATAAACTACAACGTTATTTTACTTTGCCTAAGTTTTGCAGCATTTTAAGTGCATGGAATTGATAACTTGGAGAACTTTATTTTTTTTTTAAGAAATGTTCAATTTTTAAGAGCTTTTCTGCTTGAGTGCCTCGTGTATCAGGTGTTGGCATCAACTAATAATGTGTTTCACTTTAGCTCTGTTAGGGAAGGATTTGAGCTAAGATTTCAGAGTTGTAAAGGGAAAATCTTTTGCAGTCAATAGAATCCTGCTGATAAAATAAATATTTTTGGTATGGTAATAAAAAAGAGAGGAGAACTGCCTCAGGGATATACCTCTTTGATTTGTGAAGGACTGAAGAATTTGGGAACTGCCAAAGTTATTAAAATATCTTACATACAAGCCCAGTCAGCATTTTAGCTTCTTTGCCGGAACATATCAATTAATTTTTCCTACTGTGAGTTGTCTCAAAATATTCACTGAAGGTAAGTACTATCTTATAGTCATTTATAGCTGTCTTAGTTTCCATTTGTACATGGGTCTGTTTCTAGGCCCTGTATACATATTTTATTTATCTAGAACTATGGTTTTGGCAGTACCACAGTGTTTTATATATTAACTTTAAAGTATGCCTTGTCTTGTAATGCAAACCCTTGATATTTATTTTTCTTTCAAATTCTCTCTGGTGGTTCTTGTTCCAGATGAACTGTAGATTTAACCATTTCTAAATATTGGTGGTAATGTGTCTTATGAAAGTTTAAATTGATATATGCAGCAAAGCTGGATTTTCTTTGCAGAGGAGTCAACATGAAACTGAGATAAAATAGATTTTCTCTAAAAGTATGGAAGTATAAATCAGGTCAGAGTGACAGAGTTGTAGAGAGATTTCATTTTATTAAATATAATTTGGATTTCCATTTATCTTGCAAAGGCTTGGGCATATATTAATAACACTGGTGGCTGTAACAGGCTCTCAAATCTCATTGGTTTAACAGAATAAAAATTTTTTTTAACTCATGCAAAGTTAGTAATGTAGGTCCAGGTTGTCATTCAAGGACCCAGGCGCCTTCTGTCTTGTAGCTCTGCATCCCATCTGTCTTGGGAACATTGTATGTGTCAGGCCTAGAAGTGGTGCACATTACTTCTGCTACATTCTATTGACCTACATGCTCTCTTTTGTCCATGCCTGCACTGCAATGAGAGAGTTTGAGAAATTCACTATATTTGTGTCATCAGGAAGAAAAGGAAACAAGTGTTTTTGTTTTTGTTTTTGTTTTTGTTTTTGTTTGTGAGGAAGATTGGCCCTGAGCTAACATCTGCCAATCCTCCTCTTTTTGCTCAGGAAGACTGGCCCTGGGCTAACATCTGTGCCCATCTTCCTCCACTTTATATGGGACGCTGCCACAGGATGGCTTGCCAAGCGGTGCGTCGGTGCTCAAGTGGGATCCAAACCGGCGAACCCCGGGCCACTGCAGCGGAGCGCGCGCACTTAACCACTTGCACCACTTGGCTGGCCCCAAGGAAACAAGTTTTAGGGAAGAAAAGGAAACAAATTTCGTTGTAGCAGTAGAAGTCTCTGCTGCAGCGTATAAGTCAGTCCCCTGTACATACTAAATATAAATTGGGTTGCGTTAATGTGGGGCCTCAGAATATTGTCTCTCTGCCCGTGGAATACAAGTGACACATGTAATGAAGGTAGATTTGGACCATGGTCCCCTTGAGGACATTTCTGGTACTGACTAGCGTTAAGATTGAAAACTTCAGCCCAGGAATGCAGGTCACCAGGCTGGTGAGAGAATGCACAAGTGTGTTTTTGTCTAGGTATGCATGTATGTTGCAACAAACCCACCACCTTTCAGGCTTGTGGCATTCCATCTAGAAACAATAAGAAATTTTACTGCTGCCGAGTGATGGATGAGCATAGAATTGATAGATGTTTGGAGGAGCAGGTTGTTATCCTTGACTTTTTTGGATTAAATGTGGTATAGGGTATGATAGCATACTCAAAGACAGGCTTATTTATCTCTTGCTCTGTTCAACACTGCATTGTTTCCTGTAACTATATTTATCCAGTAAAACCAGAAACCACAATCCCATCAACAAAATTTTAGTTAAACCTTCCATTTTTTGTTCACCCAGGGGGTGCCATTCACAACTGTTATAGAATTGCATGGTGACCCAGGTTCTCTTCTTTCATGCTTCCACACGTAAACATGAGAATTATGTGGTAATTTGCCTGAAGTTATGAGCTCTTAGAGCCCGAGTACAAAACTCTCTATTTCATATTTGTTTTGCAACTTGATATTACTGGCCAAATGATATATTAGGTTTGCCAGATAAAATATAGGTCATACTTCTGTTAAAAAATTATTTGTCGGGCCGGCCCCGTGGCTTAGCAGTTAAATGCGTGCGCCCTGCTACTGGCGGCCCTGGTTCGGATCCCGGCGCGCACCGATGCACTGCTTCTCTGGCCATGCTGAGGCCGCGTCCCACATACAGCAACTAGACGGATGTGCAACTATGACATACAACTATCTACTGGGGCTTTGGGGAAAAAAAGGGAGGAGGATTGGCAATAGATGTTACCTCACAGCTGGTCTTCAGCAAAAAGAGGAGGATTAGCACGGATGTTAGCTCAGGGCTGATCTTCCTCACACACACAGAAAAAATTATTTGTCATTTATCTGAAGTTCAAATTTAACTGGTATCTGTATTTTATTTGCTAAATCTGGCAACCCTAGTTTCTGGAACTGTATCATTATGTAACTTAAAAAAGATATTAAATGATATGATAGTTTGGGGTTAACTGCATTAAATATTGCAATGTTGAAAGCTTTTACAGTCTATATAAATTAGAGTAAGACTCTATCTGGCTTATTTGTTGCCCTATTCCTAATCTTATTACAGTACTTGTCACATAGTGGGTGTTCAACATCCATTTCTTACATGATTGTTTATGAATAAAGGGAAAATGGATCCATTCATTTTGTCACTCTGTTTCTTTTAGGTTTGTCACGCTTTTCCCCAGCAACCCATTTTAAGCATCTTGTGGGTGGAGATTGTTTCATACTCTTTTGTGTTTTCAAAGTATTAGTGATTCGAAAGGCACTTTGTAGGTAACTGGTAGGGGCTCCATGAAGGAACAGTTACCAGTCAAAGGTTTTTCGTGGGTGCAAAACACTGAGGGAGGGCGATTATTTGGGAGAGCAGCTTGTGGTTACCATGTTGAAAGTTAACAGAAAGAATTTTAGACTATAGATGAGGACAAAAACCCTAACCATGAGGCCGATTAAACTGTGGGGTGGCCTCTTAAGGCAAACTGCAGAGACTGTTGCTCTAGTCAGTCAAAGGCAAATGCCTCCACTGGGAAGTTGTCCATTGATCTTATTATCTGGGGACTTGAAATAACGTTTCAATTTTCCCTTTGAAAAGCCATGATATCGTTTTTTAGAACACATGCTTCATCCTTAAACTCTCATGCAAAGCCATTACTTGAGCTAAACCTTTCTTGCCAGAAATATCTTCAAGGAACACACTCGGTGTAAGGGTGTATATTGTGGAAGATTAGAAAAGAAAGTGTTTTGGTTCTCTTTGTTACGTGGATGGGCTTTTTGCAAGGTGAACCTCTTTGGAGGCTATGAAAAACTTCATAACATATCACATAGTATTTTCCATTATTTTTACTGTTACATAAGCATATGTATTGATAAGTTTTCTGAAATCATATGGCAAAGTGGTTCAGGGAGAGTTTTTGAGTCTTGGTAGATGTGAGTTAGGGACCACTCATTTGATCTATAACCTGAAGCAAATCGCTTAGCCTTTGAAAGCCTCAGTTTGCTCTTCTATTAAATAGGGGTAATAATAGCAATTAATGTCAGGATTGAAGGATATCCGTATAAAGCACTCGCTTCAGTGTCTAACATCTGATAAATGATGTAAAAATTTGAATTGCTGTATTTTATTATTTATACATGTACTGTTTAAGAGATAATTATTGTTACATTGTTAAGACCCAAAGCTACAATAGTAATTAATCTCTAAAATAGCAGTTAATATCTGAGTGATGAATTGTCTTCCCATAAGAGGCAGCTAGGAATGTAGTCATCCATGTGATTGTTGCATGTCCCAGGACAGTTTCAGAGGTTAATTTGTAATGGAAGCAGCTGCTGGATGAGCTCAAGGCATAGGCTTTGGACAAAAAAACTCCATGTCCTCATTCACGTCCTGACTTAACAGGCTCTTTGACCTTGACAAAGTACAAGTACATACCCTCTCTGAACTTAGGCTTCCTCCTTAGGTAACTGGTGGTAACAGTACCTCCCAAGCATAGAGCTTCACACAGTGCCTGGAACACAGTAAGCCTTTGGTGAGAGAGTACAGTGAAAGAGAGAAAATATTTTGGGGCTATGCTGTTCAAAACAGTAACCGCTAGCCACATGTGGCCATTTAAATTCAAATTAAGTAGAATGAAATAAAATGAAAAATAAGTTCCTCAGTCTTTTGGTTTGAATTGTAATCCTTCAGAATTCATATGCTAAAGTCCTAACCCCCAGCACCCTGAGAATGTAATCTTACTGGGCAATAGGATCATTGTAGATGTAATTAGTTAAGATGAGATCATACTGGAGCAGAATGAGACCCTAAGCCAGTATGACTAGTGTCCTTATAAAAAAGAGAAACCTGGACACAGATATACACACAGGAAGAATTCTTTGTGAACACGAAGGCAGAGATCAAAGTGAAGCTTCCACAAGCCAAGGAATGCCAAAGACTGTCTTCATACCATTAGAAACTAGCAGAGAGACGTGGAACAGATTCTCCTCCCAGCCCTCAGCAGGAACCAATCCTGTCCACATGTTGATCTGGGACTTCTAGCCTCCAGAATTGTGAGACAATAAATCTCAGTTTTTTAAGCCGCCTAGTGTGCAGTCCCAGCAAACTAACACGCTCAGTCTCGCCGGCCATGTTTCAAAGCACTGAATGGCCACATGTGGCTGGTAGCTGCTGTATTGGATGGTGAAGATACTGAACTTGCTTTCATTGCAGAACGTTCTTTTGGACAGTACTCCGGGGGATTCCAGGCTGCTCATAGCCCCTAAAGCTTAAGTTTAAAAAAAATTACAAAAGGTTCAATGAGTTTTATGAAATATATTCCTTGTCCTGAAATCCAGGGCGAAACACATAAATGATTTAAAGAAAAAAAAAAAAAGCTCTGCCTTAAAACTGGGCTAGTCAGACAGCCAAATATTCAGGGGGACTTCCTGTTCTGGAGGAGATGGTGAAAGTGGCCAAGACAGCCTTGTCTTCTGTTCAGGATGAATTTCTGATTAGCTTCCACGGGTAAACTCTCACATAATTGCATTCTATATATAGAGCTTCCCTTTGTATCCAGCTCTGCTTTTTCCCCTTGTTTTCTTCTTCAGACTACGTAAAAGTGTTCGCAAAGACTCCTTGCCCCCCACCCTGAGCTGCAAATAGACTGGCAGAAGAGGGTTCTACTGCTTCACAACATGGCAGGATCGCGGAGCCTCTCCTAGTTCCCAGCCATGGCTGACGACATACTGTGAAACTCTTGTGCACCCTTTCCTTTGGCTGGAGAGCAGGTGCCAGAGAACCTGTCCCAGGAGTGGCTGAGGACACGGCACTGGCAGCGAAAAGCATCCCAGGCCTGGAGTAGAGGTTGAAACCTCCCTGCGGGGGCTACCCCTCCTCTTGGTTGGGGATTTGAATTTGCTGGCAGTGGTTGTGACCTCTGATGGGGTGAAGCCACCATCCTTTCTGCAGTCTTTATCCTCTTTTCAAGAGGTTGTACCTTGGGTGCTAGGTGGGCTCTTATAGTCTTTGGTCAAACAAAAGCAGTTTGTGCACCTGACCTCCAAGCGACTTTTCTCGGTTCTTCTCGGCTCCTCTCCGCTCTGAAATGCCTCTGTTGGCAAACTTGGCCTTCAGTGAGTCAGACTGAAAGGAAGAATTCGGGAGGAATATTTGCATTTTTTACCTTTTCAAGTGAAGGATGTTCTTTTAAAAGTGGGATTATAGGGCCGGCCCCGTGGCTTAGCAGTTAAGTGGGCGCGCACCGATGCACCGCTTCTCCGGCTGTGCTGAGGCCGCGTCCCACATACAGCAACTAGAAGGATGTGCAGCTATGACAGACAACTATCTACTGGGGCTTTGGGGGGAAAATAAATAAATAAATAAATAAAATCTTTAAAAGTGGGATTATACTTCAGAGTATCTTTAATATACCTTTTATAGCAACTAATATGATCTTGAAAAATTATTTTATCTTTTCATATTAGAATTGTTATTTTTGACTATTTTTATTCATTACGTGTTTTGTTAAGCTGAAGTCA